GGGGCGGGGGGGGGGGGGGGGGGGGGGCGCCGGATGGGACTGCTTTTGGTCGGTCCATGGGCTTGTTTTTCTCGGGGGGCTGGGTATGGCGTGGTGTACTCACGTTTTGTATGCCTTAGCGGTTAGACCCTTGACCACGCGTCGTCGAGAGGACATAGTGCGGTGGTGTGGAGGGGGGGGTGTTTTCTTTTTGACCATGTGGCTGTTTTTGGCACTGCTTGGCGGCCAACATGAGGGGTCGAGGATGAAACAGTTCCCTAGTGACCCGCCCGAGACCAGTCACCCACCGCCAAGAACTGTTCAACCCCGGGCTCGCTCTGCGTGGGTATCGTGGTAGCGGCGTCGTCAAATTTTTTCGAAAAGTTGCGGGAGGACAATCATTTCACGAGAGAGCACGAGTGTGTTTCGAGCAGGTTTTTTTTTTTAGAATACGGGTGCAACAAACGTTTTTTAAACACCACTTTTTCGTTTTCTTTCGATTTTTTGTACTTCAGTTCGGAGTTCCAGCCCCAGGAGACCGGCTACATGTTCGGAAGCAGCGACCGCCCGCTCAACGACGAGGAAGCGGACGAGTTCCAGGGTCACGACATTGGTGACGCCGTGAACGCGGTCCTCAAGCCGAAGCGACCCCGCCGCACCGAGAGCGGCGACGGCGGCGGCGGCGACGACGCGGCCTGGCGCCTCAAGTTCTGGCAGAGGCACGCCTCCGGCACTCCTACGAATGCCGCCGCCGCCGCCGCCCAGCAGGCCGGCGGCGGTGACGGCCGCCACATCCGCAGCCAGACCTCGTTCCGGCACTTCTTCAACCGCAACAAGAAGTCCGACCTCGAGGCCACCCTGGACCAGGACCTGCAGCAGCTAGAAGACGGCGGCACGCCCGTTGTCCACAGGAGGTCGGCGACTACGGCGGCGGGCAATAACAACCAGAGGGCGGGCGCCCAAAGGACGGCCCAGCGCAAGGGCCGTTCCCCGGTCCGGCCCAGGGGGGTCGCCGCGGGATCGGCCGAGGCCGGCGTCGTAGATCTCGGAGATATCAAGGGCGGCAAGCTCAAGGCAGCGGTGAAGAGGGCATTGGCGGCGAGCAGGAGGGAGAAGGAGGCGGCCGCGAGGCGTGGGCGGCAAAAGAGGCGGGAGGAGCAGGAGCTCGGAGACTTCCAGGGTTTCATCCAGGTGAAGGACCCGGCGCTGGACAAGTCGTGCGTGGAGTACGGGCTGACGGCGGAGCTCGCGGAGACCAAGTACAGGTGGGAGGCCGGCGGTTTGTCGGTTCGTTTGCTGCTGTTGTTGTTGTTGTTGTTGTTGTTGTTGTTGTTGTTGTTGTTGGTGGTGGTGGTGGTGGTGGTGGTGGTGGTTCTGGTTGAGATGGTTGTATAGGTGTGTGTTGATTG